AAAAGTGGGTTTTAAGGGCACAGCGGAAGGCACTGAGGTCTTGGATTCTCCTTATCTCTGGGGGCAACTGATTCCAGAGGGTAGGTGCCCCCACAGAGAAGGCTCTCCCCCTGGGGGTCACCAGCCTACATTGTTTGGCTGATGGTACCCTGAAGAGGCCCTCTCTGTGGGAGCGCACGGGTCGATGGGAGGTATAAATCTGACAAATAAATAAATAAATAAATAAAATGTGCAGCCACCGCCAAAAAAGTTAATACAATCCTAGGATGTATAAACAGACACATAGAATCAAGATCATGTGAAGTATTAATGCCGCTTTACAAAACCCTAGTAAGACAACACCTGGAATACTGCAACCAATTTTGATCACCATTCTACAAAAACGATGTTGAGACTTTGGAAAAAGTTCATAGAAGAAAGAGCAACTAAGATGATCAAAGGCCTGGAGACTAAACCATTTGAAGAACGGCTGCAGGTTTTGGGTCTGGCTAGTCTAAAGAAAAGAATTAGGGGTAACATGATAGCAGTATCCCAGTATTTGAAGGGCTGCAGTGGTGGGTTTCACTTATCTTTGCTACCGGTTCGCTCGCTTGTGCTCACTTCGCTCACACACATGCCACTTGTGCGCATATGCAGAGCATATTTGGTGACATCCGGGAGGGTGGGCGGAGCCTCCCACCACCACTGCTATTAGTTCGCCTGAACTTGGACGAACCGGTAGCAACCCACCACTGAGGGGCTGCCACAAAGAAGAGGGGGTCAAATTATTCTCCAAACCACCAGAGGGTAGGACAGGAAATAATGGTTGGAAACTGATCAGAGAGAAGCAATCGGGAATTAAGGAGAAACTTCCCAACAGTGAGGACAACTAACCAGTGGAACAGCTTGCCTTCAGAAATTGTGGATGTTCCATCACTGGAGGTTTTTAAGAAGAGACTGGACAATCATCTGTCTGAGATTTCATAGGTTCTCATGCTTGAGCAGGGGGCTGGACTAGAAGACCTCCAAGATCCCTTCCAGCTCTATTCCATTCTATCCTGGAAGGAGACAGTAATAAGCCATTTTAGTTAAGAAAACGACCATGCGTCAGTGATTTTAATGTTTAGAAAAGCAATGGATGCAAGTGAGGCCACAGTGGCTCTCGTTTCCCTCCTACCGGCCATCCCTCGGTTGGCTTTTGCAGTTTCAAACCTCTGCACTTTATAAAATGCCCTTTTCCCATTCACTTGCAAGTTCTATCTCAAAATTTGAACGGAAAGAGTTGCATATCCATTGAAAAACTTTAAACCGGATCACAGCTGTTTATAGCAGCAGAACCACCAACAATTCTTCCCCTTATTACGCTGCTCCTTTCTACAACTCCTGCTCTAAAAGCTAGAAGAAGGCGGGGTGATGGAGACGCGACTTTTGACGGACATGACTTCGGACCAATGGAAAGTTTGGAAAGAAGCGCGGTGAGCCAATGGGACCGAGCAATTTGGAAATGGTGTCAGGTGCAAAGGGATCCAGGAAGTGATAGTTGGAGCAGTTAAGAGAGTGCTGCTGCAGGGAGAGGCGCTAAAGGTAGTTAACTCTTCTTTGGATGGGATTGTTTGTTTGGGATCGTCTTCTTTTCTGAAGGAAAATGGGTGTTGTTTCCGCTGTGGGTGTGGACATAAGAGACGACACATTTAGCCATGGCTAGTTTAAATCACCTTTTATTTAGGCTACTTGCTGGGTTCTCAAGACGTAGAATCAATAAACTAATTGCATGCATGGATTCACTTTGCATCTCTTGAGAACCCAGGAAGCAGCTTAAATAAAAAATATTTGAGACTGAAGTGAGTTGGTGGTTGACCGCTTGGTTTTACCACCAGGTATATAACTGGGCACGGGTCTTGCACATTTAAATGGAAATGCCATTTTCGGGACATCCTTGCTGAGGCTAAATCCACCTCGGTTAATCTGCTGATCGAGTTGGATTTACCCTATTTTTACCTCTAAATTACAGTAATGGGATTGCCACGCCCAGAAAATGAAGTGTTGGCAGCCCAGCACCTTTTTAGAAAGTAAAATTGGAGTCTTAGAGCTGTGTTTTTCAAACTTGGCAATTATAAGATGTGTGGACTTCAATTTCCAGAATTCCCCAGCAAAAGCATGCTGGGGGAGGAATTCTTGGAATTCAGGTCCACACATCTTTAAGTTGCCAAGGTTGAATAACACAGATTTAAAGCTATGGTCCATCTTTAAAACTAAGGAATACAGTTAGGTTATTAGTAATCATAAGCACACTAATATTTTAGAGCACTTAACTAATAATCCTGGTGATGAATTTTAGTAATCCATGCAGATGTGTGAGACTTGGAGTTACTATCTAATACAATAGTTTCATCCTAAAAGTGAGATTTTTAACTGATGAATCCTACCGGAAGTTCACTTACTATACCTTAGAACAGAGACGGGGAACTATAGCCCTTTTATGACTTGTGGACTTCAGCTCCCAGTATTCTTGAGCCAGTCATGCTGGCTCAGGAATTCTGGGGGTTGAAGTCCATAGGTCCTAAAAAGGATGTAGTTCACAATCCCTTCCTTCTACTATCATAGATTCTTAAAGAGGCCTGTACTAAAATCCCAGGTGTTAGAAGAAGACTCACTGAGTTTATGTAGCTAAAATGATGTGAAAGAGGAATAATTTTGGAGTAACCTAAAAGCGAAAAAGTTACAAAAATTATTGGGAAATCCACTCCCACCTTGCTGAGCATGTTCAGCAAATGCAGGATGCTGGCTGCTGAAAATTGAGAGGAGGGTGGCATGGAACAGCCTGGGAGTGGGTGGGCACAGCTGGCTGAGCTTTAGCAGGCATACTATATACACTGTCACGTGTTGTTTCTAATGTTGTTTCTAGTTCCACTCGCTGTTGTTTAATGTCAACAATGTAAGTACATCCTGTGTAAAAGAGTATAGGGAGTCTGTGTTGGGCAAATAAGAACAAGATATGAGAGTGTGGAAAAAGTAAAGGAGAGGAGATGTTAAAATTACACAATGAAGGAACGTGGGTCTGCAGAATCATAGATTGGAAGAGGCCATGAAGTGCTACAATCCCAATTAAAGCACCCCTACCAAAGCTATATAATTTCTACTTGAAGCCTTCCAATGAAGGATGTCTCCTCAATCATCTGGGTATTTAGACCCACTGTCAAACTGTTCGTATTGGTAGATTTTATTTTTCCCATGACAGTCAAACAAAATCTACCTTCCTATAGCTTAATGCAATTGTTTATGAACCTGTATTCTGGACCAATGGAGAATAAATCTTTCCTTCTTCTGTGAAATTTTTTCAGGTATTTGGTGCTATAATATTCCCTTTTTCCTTCATAGGCTTTACTTTCCAATCTTCTAATTATCTTTGTTTCCCTTGTCTGAGATTGTCTTCTTGTCTGCATCTTTTTAAAGTGTAGAACTAGTAGTGTACAGATACTCCAGGTGGGATCTGACCAATCAAATTAATGATTATTTCTTGTAATTTGGAACCTATTTTTGTGGATGCAGCCTGAAACTGCATTTGCCCTTTTTTCTAGCCACACAGTAGTTGATTTACATTGAGCTGCCAAGCAATCACTATTCCATGATTACATATAGCAGGGGTGTCAAACCTGAGGGCCGCATCAGAGTTGTGTTTGACCTTGGGGGGCCGGGGGGGGGGCATGGTCAAAGTAGGTGTGGCCAGCTTGACATCATTTGTGTTGGGGGGGTGCCTGTGGTGACCCAAGTGCTCTGCGAGAGAAAATGGGCTCCCAAGTTCCATTTTTGGCTGCGATGGCCTTGTGCAGAGGCACTGTGGGCCAATCCTTTGCTGCTTCCAGGGTGACCCCACGGGCTGGATTTGGCCCGTGGGCCTTGAGTTTGACACTCCTGTTCCAACACCTTGGATCCTAGGTGTTCCCAGGTCTTTGGAAATAATTAAAATGTCACAATCTGATGCCTTCTGTCAGTTACCGTGTTTCCCTAAAAATACAACCCACCCCGAAAATAAGCCCGAGCCTAATTTTGGGAGGTGGGCTAATGTATGCCCTACCTCCAAAATAAGCTCTAGTGAAAATATGCATCTGCAAAGCTCCCCTTTGAAAGGAGGATTGGCAGGGAACCCCCCTCCCCCATCACAATTTTATTTTGCTTGAGATGCGGGAGAGGGAGAAAGATCAGAAGCAGGCAGGTTGAGGAAAACTTACTCAGAAAGTGATTTCCGGGTGGGGGGTGGGTGGATTTTCGTGCCAATCCTCCTTTCAAAGGGGAGCCTTGCAGACGCACATCCAAACTGCTCCCTCCGTGGCTTCAAAGCCTCTAGCCTTGCAATCCTGCAAGGGAGATGTTTGCTCCGAAGCTACGGCAGAGCATTGCACTGGGAGGCCTCCACGGGTAAGATTGAGTTGCGTGTCTTGCTCCAGCGAGAGGGGTACAGGCTGGGGGCTTGGGGGCCAGGGAAGGTGGGGTTTAGGGGTACAAAGGAAGAAGGGGCGATCTCCCCCCCTCCTCTGTCCTGCTGCAGAGCCGCCATGGAGCTCGCTCAGGGCAGCGCAACCACTGGCGAAGGGCGCCCTGGCAGGCCGGTGGTGGAGAGCAAGGCAGCCATAGGGCAAAGAGCCCCTGCGAGGGCAGCAGCAGCGCGTGCAGCAGGCCCAGCAGCCGGATAGAGGCGGGGGAGGGAGCCTATTCTGATAGGCCGCATGGCTTTCTGTCTCATCGTAGCAACAGCCTGTGCAACACCGGAGCTCCAGGCCTGGCAGAGTGCAAACCATGCTCGCCGCCTGCTCCATAGCCACAAGATGAGCTGTGGAAGAGAGGGGTCCTCAGCTGCGAGGTTGCCTGGCACCCAGAGAGTGTGGTGTAGGAAGTTAGCACCCACCCCTTTCCTGGAAGAGTGAAATATTTTAGGAAATATGAAAAAGGTAGAATATTATATTTCCCTGGATGAGAAATATGAGAAGCATATTTTACAGACAAAGCAGCTCCCACCTTCCTGCCCCCCACCCTTTGTCAATGGGCCATTAAGGCCTGGGCCAGTCTATTCTACATAACAAAGATCTGCCTCCTTCAGGCAGAGCCATAGTAGGAATTGCCAAAAATGGGATTAGCCCTCTACACAATAGCAGCAGAAACTCACCACATGTGACCTGGGAAGCACATGTGACCATCAGCCAGCAAGGCCCCCACCCCCTGGGAGTCTGACAACCAATCAGGATACTCTTTCGGGGCCCCAAGAAATGCAGAGCCAGAGAGAGCATAAAAACCCGAGGATTTACTGTATCTCCCCTTTTTCTGTTCAGGAACTCAAGCCATGTGATCCTGTCCACCATTAAACCATCTTTCCAAGCAGTCTCCATGTTTCCAGTGTCTGTTTCCCCACTTGGAGCAGGACCTAGAAGGATGTTTCTTCCAACAGTGGGAAGGGCTGGGGCTAACGAGTGCACCGGAAACATCTCCTGGCGCCCGGAGAGACAGAAATCCTGGCCCTCGCTGGATCAGCTGATCCGCAGGCCGCGATTAAGGGGCCCAGCAGCCATGAGGTGACTGCACTCGCGGCTTCCTGCACCTCAAAAAAATTAAGACACCCCCAAAAAGAAGCACTAGACCAGTGGGTCTCAACCTTCCTAATGCCGCGACCCTTTAATACAGTTCCTCATGTTGTGGTGACCCCCAACCATAAAATTATTCCTAAGACCATTGAAAATATGTGTTTTCCAATGGTCTTAGGCGACCCCTGTGAAAGGGTTGTTCGACCCCCAAAGGGGTCCCGACCCACAGGTTGAGAACCACTGCACTAGACGGTTTTTTTGGGGGGGTCAAAAGAAAATAAGACCGGAACTTTCTTTCCCCTAGTGTTTCTGTTTGTCCAGTAAGATCTGACGTAGGCATATTTGTTTATTATTAATCAAATTTTTATGGCTGCCCATCTCATGGAACTTGACTCTGGGCAGCGTGCAACAATCTCTCAAGATAAATATAAAATAATGATTACCTAAAATCATTACAGTTAGTTATTAAGAAACATTAACAACTACAAAAGTAGAAGTAAACAAGAAAAGGAAAATAATAATTGGAAGGATATCACTAATTGGCCACCTCACAAGTTCACTCATCCCTTGAGGTCCTCAGATCCCATCCTTAAAACAGCATCATCTGATGGAATCCCAGCAATCTGTCTTCTCTGTCGTGGACCTTATCCCCAACCCTCTCATCCTTTGAGCCTTGAAGATCTGGGCCTTTCCCCAGGGGCTGGGTTAAGAAATACTTGTACATGCTGCTAGGTTTTTTTTATTAGTTTGCTATCCCCAAGTTTTTGCTTTCTTACGGCTTTTGCTATATTGAATTTGACAAAGCAGACCACAGCCTACTTCTTGGTAAGAAAATACAGACAGCGTCACCACCAGATGGATTTGCAATTGGCTGACCAACTGCACTCAACATGTAGTCCTCAAAGGAACTGCATCTACATGGAGGGAAGCATGGAGAGGGGTACCTCAAGAGCACTGGGCCCAGTGCTCTTCAACATCTTCATAAATGATCTAAATGAGGGGATGGAAGGAGAACTCATTAAATTTGTACACGATACCAAGCTGGGGGGCAGGAAATAGCCAGCACTATGGAAGATAGGCTCAACATCGAGAAGGATCTTTTCAGACTTGATATTGGTCCCTCTCCAACAAGATACAGTTCAAAAAAATAAAATAAAGCCAGTGCAGTCCTAGGCTGCAACAACAGACAAGGAGTGATAGAATTGCTTTACACCATGCTGAGACCACACTTGGAATATTGCAACCAGTTCTTGTCATCACAATGCAAAAAAATGTTGAGAACCTGGAAAGTGTGTAGAGAAAAGCAACAAAGATAAAGGATCTGGAGGCTAAATCATATGACAAATGGTTGAGGGAGCTAGGTATGTCTAGCCTATTGAAGAGAAGGATTGAGGGGAACGTATGTAATAGCTGTCTTCTAATACTTGGGCTTTCAAAAAGAGGGGATTGACTTACTCTCTAGGGCTGTGATGGTGAACCTGTGGCACGTGTGCCAGAGATGGCATGCAGAGTCCTCTCTGATGCCCCAGTTCAGCTCTGCTGCAAATGCGCGCATGCCTCCCACCAGCCAGCTGGTCTTCGGGTCTCTGCCGCGCATACGCAGGCACATGCGAGGGGGCTGAGGGTGGGGGCGGGTGCATGTGGGGGGGGCGTGCACAGGGGTCACACGTGCATTCGCACACGAGCGTGTGCACTTTGGGCACTCGGTCCGGAAAAGGTTAGCCATCACTGCTCTAGGGTCTCAAAGGGTAGGACAAGAAGTAATGGGTGGAAGCTTGATAAAGAGAGATCCAACCTAGAAGTAAAGATAAATTTTCTGACAATGAGAGCAATTAATTGGTGGAATAGCTTGCTTCTGGGGTTATGGGTGCTCCATCACTATAGGTTTTCAAAAATAGATTGGACAACCATTTGACTGGGATGATATAAGACTCCTGCCTTGAGCAGGGAGTTGGACCAGAAGATTTCTGAACTACCTTCCAGCCCCTATGAATCTATGATTCTATGTTTGTTATGAATATTGATTATTTATTTGTATGCCATCAAGAGCTGTAATGAGAAAGGTGGCTTTTAAATGTGATTAATAAATAAACATTTCAGATACAAATCATACTTAAAAACAGTGTCTTGGACAAAGCCTTCAATTCAGAACACACATGAGCTAGTTTGTGCGCTAGGCATTTCCCTTGTTAACATCCTGCCTTAAACAAGCTTTATCTTTTCATTCTCTCAACATAACTTGTTGCATCATGAAGGGATAATGTTAGTTTTAATAATGGCAGAAGAGCGATTGAGATGATGTAGATAAAGCCTTTTCTTTTTCAGCACTATAGATTTGCTGCTTCCTTAGCTGCAAAGAATTAGTTACGTGACCTGCAACATTTGGGGGGTTGTGGGGTTGTGCACATAGTCCTTTAGAGCCCAAATGCCTACAATAGCAGCAGTGCAAATGTTCATAGAGAAAAAATGTATACATTAACGATGACCATTTCAGGGGGCGTAGTGTATTTCAATGCAGAAATTGCTGGTGAGGGAATCGTCCTGCCTGCGAGGATGAGGATTTGTTAGAATGGCATTTGCGGTCAGTTCCTCCCTATAGCAAGACTTTAAGGAGTTTGCATAAGAAGCAAATTGTAATGGAGGATCTAAATATATTTGGCAGGAAAATTGTTAACCTTTCTGGATTCAGTAAGTGAAAAAGAGTGGGGCTTTTTATCCTGCCTCAGTCTAATGCAGAGTAATTTATGTAGCTTTCTTGGCCAGGTTTCAGTCATGTATTCTTTTAGTCTAATTGCAATAACAAAAATTGATTTGCTTTGATGGAGATGTATTGGTCGATGCCTGTTCCCATCATTTGGCCTTGGAACATTAAAACCTTAAAACCGGAGGATGCTAATTCTAACTTGTCCTTTTAAACGTTGTTTTGAGTATACATGAGCGCAATTAGAAATGAAAAGCTGTAATATTTATTCTGGAATTGTAAGGACATTGTTGAAAGAAGGTAGCATGTTGTATTTAAACCATTTCAGGGATACCTTAAGGACTTCAGGGCCAAAAGGAATTCTAAACATTGAAATAATGTATTTCTTGCCCTGAATGTTCAGTCCAATATTAAATGTTTTAATCTCATTTAGATAACACGCCAATGCTAGGATTTCTAAAATGGTTTAAAAAAAGGAAAGGAAAGAGAAAGAAAACAAAAGTATGTAGATATGCTAATGGGGAATATAAGAAATAATGTTTCATGGCCCCTTGAGATGAAAAAGGGTGTGGGTGAGAAAAAAACAAAAGGTAATGGTTCTTGCTGAGGGAAAGATATGTTATAATGTGTTTAGGAAGAAAAAAAAGGCAATAAATATACTCAAAGAATAAGGAATGGATTAGAAAAAGACAGAGGAAAATGTAGAGTGTTTGTGTAAAAATAAAAGAATTGTTTTCAAAGTGGATGAAAATGGCTAAGGAAGGAACCTTTAGCAGAGACAATGGAACTAAAAACAAAAGTGCTGAACTTATTTTATTTAAGTGATTATTTTATATCAGGCCTTTCATTCACCAATTCAATGTGTCATCTTCTTCCTCTTTTTTCCTCACAATAATAATTATGTGGGGAAAGTTCAGCAGAGAGAGAGAGACCCAATTTAAATATAATGAGGGGGAAGTATGATGGTGTCTTTTAGAAATAAGTTTGGGAATGATAGTGAGATGTCAATAGCGGAGTTGAAATGTACATTGTAAATGTTTGGGTTTGAGGAAAAGTTATTTTAAACAAATCTTGGTGCTGTGAATTTGTTGAACAAGACTGCAGGTGTAGATGGTATAGATAAAACAATGTTTAGATATGAAATTATGTGTGTGGAATGGCTTGGGTACATAGTTTAAAATGTCACTGAAGAATGCCATCATTGTTCTCCTGTACTAAACCGTAGGAAAGAAGAGTGAATTCAGAAAGCAGAGTTTAATCAATGTACTTGGCAAGGTGTTTGACAGAAACGGTTCAAGAGGAACAATGAACAAAATGTGGGAAGTGTTCTGCAACTTTATGCCAGAAAGTTTGCAAACTGTCCGATAAAGTTTATTACATGTTTTTGTTTTGATTCAGAAAAAGCATATAATAAAACGAGTAGACTTGATTTGAATTATGGAACATACAAAACAGTTGAAAATGGAATATGGATTTAAAAATAACTGGATCTGACTGAAAATGGAGTGAATAATTGCAAGTTATACATAATTGGCAAACCCCAGAGCAAGTGGTGAATTTGTATATCTTGGTGGAAACTTGCCAAAGATGGGAAAATGACAAGCAACATCAATGGGGGAGGCTAGATCTGCTTAACAACCACATGGTTCATTTAACAACTGCAGCGAATTGCTTAACAAACATGGCTTAAAAAGATCATAAATCAGGCATGACTCAACTTACTTAGCAACAGAAATTTCGGTCCCAATTGTGGTTGTAAGTCGAGGACTGCCTGTCTATGAAGGAAGTGTGAAAACAGAGAAAGTTGTGGCTGAAGGAGACCCTGAAAAGAGCAAAAGGTAATGTGGTGCATGAGCTTAGTGGAAGCAAATATGGTTTCAATGATAGAAAAGTAGAAAAGGCTATATAATAAATGGTGTTTGTAAAACTATGTTTAGATTGCTCTTTTTTGTTATCACCTGTCTTTAATTTCTTTTGTTCACTACAACTTGATATTTTTCTGCATTTTGCATAGCCTGATTTATCTGAAAAGGGAATAAAACATGGGTAGTTTCTCAAAATTCAAAATGTTTCTTTTTTTATAATTCTTCAAACCTATTGAGAGTTTGGTATGAAACATGAATATTAGAAAACTTCATCTCATTTTTTTTAAAAAACTGCTTTCTTGTATTTGGGTGTATTTTCTATCCTGCTGTGAAGGATATTGTTTAAATCGGTACGAGTAAGAACTACAAATACTAAAAAATATATTTGAAAAGATATGTCAAGAATCCTGAAATTCACACTGTGCTGTTTTCCCAAATTACTCCTTGCTGAATTTATACATCATGTTTTTATACTAGGAGGTGGGTGGGTGCGGGTGGGAGGAGGTTCTTAATGAGATGTGTGAAATCAACCATGATTGTTTATAACTCATGATTTATGGTTTGGCTTTATAAATGAAACAGGCCACTATAATTTGTTCCAAACCGTGATGAAAACAAACCATGTATATCTAAAATACATAGATATACACCTGCCATGTGCAACCTGACCCTGGAGGAAGATTGAATGGAAAAGAGCTTCATTGCATCTTTCACTATGGCTGGTTTGTCCAGTACTGATGGCCTTCTAATTTTACATTGTTGGTCTTACTTGTGTCTTCTCCCTTCAATTGGCAGATTGTTCTCTTGTGAAGGACCATGTGGGATCCCAATGCAGGTAAAAAGGGAAGGCGATTTAATGGGAATTGCTAAAATACTTCTCTAAAAGCACAAATTGAGTACAGTGTGTCATTGCCTATTAAATCTTTCTGGGCAAGTAGTTGGCCTTGTGACGGGAGGCTTTAATGGAGACCAGCATTTGGCAGCTACCCATAAAGGTTTGGAATGCAGGATCCTTGCTGAATTAATACATTTGTTGCCATGGTCTCTCTGTCTCTCTGTTTCCCCCCCCCTCCCCTCCCCTCCCCTGTAATGCCTTAAATGCCATTTTGTTGATGTCTCCTAACATTGTCAATGTAACAGCATTAGCACACTGGTGGCAAAAGTCTTGCAAATTTCCTGTGGAAAGGAAATCTGTCCAGAAGCAACTCTGCAGGCATTTATGGCCGGTTGCAATTAACTTCAGCCAGCCCACTTCCTGCAGCCGAATTAGACTGTCTCCAGTAATCTGTGGAAGAACTTCCTGTGTGTTTTCCTTACCGCTGCCTGCCAGATACACTTCACAGTTGGCTCATTTGGATTTTTCCTTTTAAGAGACATGCTTAAGGTTGAAACGCACAAACACGGAGGAATCCTTTTTCGTGGTCTCCCAGACATGCACCCTGAATTTGCCCTAAGAGATGGAATTTAAGATAACCTGATTTTCTAATGGGGTGCTTGCTTTCAGATTTGGTTATCTTTGGATAAACTCTATTTACAAAAGAAAAAGAAAAAAAACACTCAAGCCAAAGCATCTTTATGATGTTGCTCAAAGAGCAAAAGTGTTTGCAATTGCCATTGGGTGAGAATCTGCTGGATTGAGAGGTTTTCCGATTATCACTGAGCACACTATAAAATTGTGGGGAAATAGGAGCTGGTGCTATTTGCATCCATCATGAGTCGAGGATGATAACTAACTAGCCTTTCCCAGTCTGATCTTAATCCAAGTATATTGGGTTTTCTCACAACGGTCAGACAGTGTCATGGAATACACCAGTTTAGCAGCATTCTGGGTGTAGCAGGTTAGGAAGGAATTGAGTTTTGTATAGAATACACGCTTGTCTAAAGCTACAAAATATAACCAGGAAATTCTGTGAGCAAATTAGCCCTTCATTGATGGGCATTCTACAGAGATTGCTACGGCTGGATTTGTTTCACCAAGTAGCAGATCTATTGTTTCTTCTTACCTTCCATTTTAGGGCAGCCAGGTGTCTTCCCTGGAGCAGCACATCCCCCCCAACCCTTCTTATCCAGGTGGCTTCAATCCTGCATACCCACCTCCTGTGAACCCTGCATTCCCTCCAGTACCTATGCCTGCTGGCCCCTGCCCTGTTCCCCCAGTTGGGATCCCAGGGCAACCTGCCTATCCCCCAGGCCATCCCATTCAGCCCCCGTATCCTGGTCATCAGCCTATCCTGCCTGGTGGTCCTTTGCCCCCACCTGTTCCTGGGATGCCGGGAGGAATAGGAGTCAATCCATTGCTGCCTGGGGCTGCTGCTGCGGGCGTCTACGTGACGGACAAGAAAGCTGCTAAAAAGATGAAAAAGAAGATGAAGAAGGCACACAAGATGCATAAACAACACAAACACCACAAGGTGCATGGAAAGATCAGTAGAGAGTGGGATGGCAAACCTAGGCTGTACAGGTAGTCCTCGGTTTATGACCACAATTGAGCCCAAATTTTCTGTTGCTAAAAGCGAGCTTTGCCCCCATTTTATGACCTTTCTTGCCACAGTTGTTAAGTGAATCACTGCAGTTAGTAACACAGTTGTTAAGTGAATCTGGCTTCCCCATCGACTTTGCTTCTCAGAAGGTCGCAAAAGGTGATCATATGACCTCAGCACACTGCAACCGTCGTAAATATGAGTCAGCTGCCAAGCATCTGATTACGTGACCGTGGGGATGCTGCAAAGGTCGTAAGTGTGAAAAACGACCATGTCACTTTTTTCCAGTGCCGTTGTAACTTCAAACGGTCACTAAAAGAACTGTTGTAAGCCGAGGACTATCCGTTATTAGGAATCAGGGTGGATAAAAATCAATGATTTTTTTAAAAAAATCAAAAAAATCAGATTTTTTTAATTTAAATCGGATTTTTTTTATTTTTATCGAATTTATTTTAATAAAAAACTTTTGGGGTAAAAATCTATCGTAGGATAGTTTTCTATTTAAGATACATAAATAATTTAGTTTATTCAGCATTAAATGGAGCTTAGTTATATAGCATGAGGCTGTATATTCTGCAACACTGGGACTATCGGTGAGTCAACAGTGGGTCAAAGGAGTAGCAGAGATGACAGTTGCTCTTTAAAAATTATGATTTAAATCGAGTTGATTTAAATCAAGCCTTTTTACTAGTGATTTAAATCATGATTTAAATTGTGATTTAAATCAACTCGATTTAAATCAAATCCACCCTGTTAGGAATTATGATTTATTTCCAACTGCTGCCAAAGTAGATTTTGTCGCAAATCTGTACCTTCCGTTTTCTGAAAATCTCAAAGGCTGTTTGACTTGGATCCATATTTGGAATCTAGGGTTAATTCCTTGGTGGTGGAGGAAGAGGAGGAGGAGGAACAGAGGAACTTGTTGTTTTGGGGATGGGGAGAGGGGAAGCATTGCTCAATGAGATTTGATTCCCAATTTACACTGGCTATGCATGAAGGAACGTTTCAGAAGCAGTCAATGTACCAATTAGCACAGAAGTGACAATCTGAAACAGAGGCTGCTTTTGTTGTTCTGGCTGCGTTCCAAATAACTGATCAACACCATTGATGTTGGCTGAAGAGAGCTCCATGTGCAGTTATCAGCATTTGGATTGGGAGGGGCGGGCTATTCACGTCTTACTGATTGGGGTCTCTTGTTCCATGTCTAATAACTAGAGACCCGCATAGGGCAATGTTGAAAAGCCCACATTTATTTTACTCGACATCGACCGGCCATTCCCCCCCACACACCCTCAAGCACATTTTTACAATCAAAGGACTACAGTTTTGCTTTTTGGGGGAAAAAAATAATAAAATTAACTTAATATGATTATGTTCACTCATCAGATCCATACAGCCACATGGAATGCAAATACGTCTTCTAAAGTTCTCTTTTAAAACTCTACTTTCCGAGTTGGTGTGCACTATAAAACTAGAAAAGGAATAACACTTCATTCTAGGGGAAAAAAAGATAATTATGTTATTTATTAATAATTAGCAGAGAAGACACCTAGAAAGGTCCTAGTTAAAAACAAAGAACAATGTGATCAGACCTAGGTAGGAACTCAGGTTTGAGCCTACACTCTGGAGATAAGAACAATCATCAGTATTTTTTCTGTTCATATGGTATGTATAAATTGTTATCTGACAGCCCTGTTTAAAGTCACCCATATTTTTTTAAAGAGAGTGATGGGCTTGGACATTATTTGTTGGGCCTCCGTGAGAAATGTTCAAAATATCCGGAGGATCAAATTGCTTAGATTTGCTTGGAGTTTGCCACCACCAGCTGGACATCTCGTAGTGAGATTATTGAAACCTTGTCTAATTAAAGTTACCCGGGAGGAGTTTGAGTTTCTTAATCCTAATCTCTCTCTCTCTCTCCCTCTCTCCCTCCCTCTCTTAATTTTTAATTGTTATTGGGACCACAGGGGTCTTTCTCAATCATGGTCTGCTTCTTTGAAACAGCATTCCACCCATGTCCCAAATTAGACTGGGTTGATTCAAGAACATCAACGAGCTGTGGACCAGATTTTTCTAAAGCCTCCAGATTTAGAACAGATGAGAGAGTGTCGCTCAACTAGATCTATCAACCATCCACCAGCAGTACTGCCATCTTGCCAGGATTAAACTTCCATTAATTTACCTTAGGGTCCGATTTAGAACAGCCACTCCATTTTGTACCTAGATTAGATGCAAAGAAGAGAAAAGGCTAGATATTTTGTTCATGTTCATATTGATAGTATTTCAGGTTGCATCCCTGTATTACGTCCCTTGGTTATTTCTGCAGATTGAGAATGGCTTGGCTACTGCTGGCCTATAGATCTCTTGCATAGTAGAGATGGAAAAAAATGAAGGTGAAGGGTATGAAATATATGTTTGACTGGCAGAAGAAATTTGTTGGGATAAAAAAACTCCGCAGGGAATAGACACAATCCAGAGTATGTGAAATAGGCTTCACCATTACCAAACTCTTCCATAACAATTACCTTGCTTCTTATACCACTGCGAATCTGTGCTTTATTCTTTTGCCATTCTGTCAAGCTGTCCAGAAAACATACTGTTGGATGGCCATATAAATGAATTCAGTTCCACAAGTACGACTGAGACCCTGCAAAATAGCTTTCTGCTCTATTTAGCATTAATGTGACTTGCAGAAGTGACAAGGAATTAATGGGAGTTTGAAATTTATTTTAGATTTTTAAAATGTATTATTTGTATAAATAACTCAAGCTGTCAAATGTGCCATATACTCCTCCGTCCTCTTTTCCCCACAAGAAGAACCTGTGAGTTGGGCTGAGGAGAGTGACTAACCCAAAGTCACCAGATTTTATGCCTACAGCAGGACTAGAACTCAAGTCTCCTGGTTTCTAGCCTGATGCCTTAAACATTAAATGAAACCTTAAGATTTTTTTTCTCTTGCAATCTTAAAAAAACTGTCCTACTTCTAATGTACAAAGAGTGAGATGTTGTTGTTCAAATTCTCAGCCTCCCACCCCAGATATCTAGAATGTGGTAGTAGTGGTAGTAATCAGAAAGGCGAAGTGGTCTGTAAAACAGCAAACCTGCATACATGAAAATAATTTTAGCTGTTCTATGTCATAATTATCCACACTTGACCATTGAAAACTTTCTTCTTTTTTTCCCCAGCACTCCTCCTCCTCTTCCTCCTCTTCCAGCAGCAGTGATTCTGACTGACGTGTCTCCCTACTTTCCAGCTGCATCGTTTTCCACCATGGCTGATCCTTGCACTGCTCTTCCTGCATTCATAGAAAATTCACTAGATTGGTTTCTAGATAAAAATGACATCTGCTTGCTTTTTGTCTGCCCTCCAAGATGGCCAGGCATCAAGCTTATTCATAGGACTGGTGCCGCTGATTAACCAGCCTGCTGTGATCGACTGTTTGGGAGGCTAGGCCACTATTGGGCTCCAAAGCAGTATATCTGCACCTGTTGGCAATTGTGATTATACATTTCTGCAGACAATCAAATCATCTCCTGGCGCTCCAGATGTTTTATTGGGAACCAATCAAATGATTATTTTCAGGTTGGTTGGGAAGTCCAAATCCACCCAAGTGCTTTTAAAAATTATCCTTCACCAAAGTAGTTCTTGAATGTTCATGTAGTCGTGCCTGGAAAAAGGACAAAAAAGAGATTTGCTCGATATTTTAACTTCATTTGGAAAGTTGCTTATTTAATATAAACTAGAATAATCCACTTTTACAAAATGTGCTGAATCAGGGATAATGGCATAACTCTATGCATGCAGAAATTCATTGTGAGATTTCCTTCTCTCTGCCACTCAGAAATATACATACGTTCATGTATTTATGGCATATTTTAGTAAACTTAATTTCTTCAGAATACAAACATTTTGGTGGCTCATGGTTTGCTTCACTGAAACACTTTGTTCATGGCTACAATCTTAATTTGCTTGAAGTTTGTATTTAATTTGTGATAGCAGTATCTTAGTAAATTGCTCCAGGGTATTGAAAGATCATGCTACATACATATTGCATAATATGTTACAAACTTCTGCAGTTGGAAGAAGCATTTTCTCATTCTTCAGTTCAACATTGCTGATGCCCCATTTAAACTGGCTGCTTATATAATACATAGATGTGTTTCTAAAATGAAAGGAGAAGATTGCAGTTAGCCAGTTTTTAAAGAGAAACAACCACATCATTACACAGCATGGCACAATTTGAGATCTGCATTGGACTTCCAATAACCTTGATTGGGGATTCAAAAGCCCCTCCAGAAGTACCCACCAAAGTATAGCATTTAATGGGACAAAAAATACATAAAATATATTGGAAGTAACTTTAGTAATTGTGTTTAATCATCAGGTTTAAGTAAAGGGATTAGTGTGTAAATCAAAGCACTTTTTATTGTGTACATTTTGTGTCTTGTATGTCAGAAAGACTGAACAAAAATTTCACAACTATCATTCCTGAAAATTGTGTATCCCTAAGTTGCACAATGCCTACGATGTTGAACTTAAAAGTATCATGTCTTGTTCGAAATGTTGTGTTCTATTTTACAGAGTCTTTTTCTGGCCAATGATAATAATTACAAGTCTGATTTTTGCTTGTCCTAACCTTGCTTCTCCCTTGATAAAAGATTTTGGCTTTAATGCTCAACCTGAATTGTAGTGTGTTACTTTATATGTACAAAATTAAACTCCAGAAAAGAATCAAAATCAAATTAGTGTTTGTAAAATGTATCTTAACAAATGCTCTTCTGTTCTTGGCTTGAAGTTCATGTCAATGCCTTTTTGGCATTATCTTCCAGAATGCAATTAAACCAAGAATTGTCTGAAGGGACCTTGGAGGTCTTCTAGTCCAACCCTCTGCTCAAGCAGGAGACCCTATACTATTTCAGATAGGCGGCTGTCCACTATCCAGTCTTTTCTTAAAAACCTCCTGTGATGAATAACTTACAACTTCTGAAAGCAAGCTATTCTACTGGTTAATTGTTCTCACTGTTAGGAAGTTTCTCCTTAATTCCAGGTTGCTTCTCTCCTTGATTAATTTCCATTGTTTCTTATCCTGCCTTCTGGTGAATTCTGCTAGCTCAGAATCCAATTAAAGCTGGGCCAAGCAGTATTTTTATGGCTGGGATAGAACAAGTTCACTTATAGGTAGTCCGCGGCTTGTGACCACAATTGAGACTGGATCTTCTATCACTAATGTAGTGTTTAAGTGAGTTGTGTCTGATTTAAGATCTTTTTTTGCCACGGTCTTAAATGAATCCAGCTTCGCCCTTTGACTTTGCAAATGGCAAACTTCACAAATATGTGACTTCAGGATGCTGCAACCCATTGTATATACATGCTGCTCGGCAAGTGTGTGGGTTTTGATCATGTGACCATGGAGACACCGCAAAAATGTAAGGGTTGGTTACAAGTCACTTTTTTCAGCGCTATTGTAACTTTGAAAAAAATGGTCATAAGTTGAGGACTACATATATTTATTTTTCATCTGTTATTGGCTGTAGGAGAGAAGCAGTAATGGTATTGGAACGATTACAGCTATAATTTTCAGTCCCTTTTGGACTATGTGTGGCTTTTAAAAAATAAAATATATCGAACCTACCAAAGGGCTTAACACCCCATTTCACTGCTTTTATTTTTCACACACAACTTCCAAATCACACCATTTTGGTTTGGAGCTTGTGCTTCTGAAATTTTACATCAGTTTTGGAAAGGCTCTGGGTCTCAAAAAGGGATTGGGCCCTGTATGGCTCAAGGACTGAAAGCTGCCCACTCTTTAACAAAAGGAACTCAATACATTAAAAAAAATAATTAAAAAGGGAGAAGTTACGTTTTTAAAAATTCCAGAATCTGTCTTCTTTTTGGTAGAAGGCAATTATTTATCTATTTGTCAAGCATGTTGCATCTTGTTTTGCAAAAAAGTATAAAGACAAAAAGTATAAAGGACTCCTTTGATGGAGGCCTGGAAATAAAGTTACTGATTATTTCTAATTAAATAATTTTATTTTATTGGAATGGTTCCTTTTTTTCCAAAGTCATCTGACCTTCGTAAACAAGCCACACAACTATTTCATATTAAGTAAAGTAAAATTGTTCTTAGACTGAAATTGTTCCTAAGCAAAGAATTTTTAATCCTCCCAAAATGTCTATAAAGGAAAAAGGGGAGCTAAGATGACAAAATAATACTGGTATACCGGTACAAGCCAAATTCCTAGGTCTTTAGTGGGGAAATGTCTTATTGTGAATGCAGCCTTCTTGTTTAGACCAAAGAGATTTTAAATCAATACTCCACCAGCAGGAAAAAAAAAACTTTTGAAATACAATTATTTTAGTCCCTGTTTTCATTCTACAAACAATTTTTCTTTTTAAAGAGGCAATGTGGAGGTGGCAGGAAGAGAAAAACCTAGAAGCTGGGACGTGTGCACCATGCAAATATGCACAAAATATTTAAGGCAATCATAAAAGCTATCTGAAATACCAATATTATGCTAATGGTATTGAAAATACAGTTTAACTGTGGGGGTGGGGGTGGGGCTAAAAATGCCCCAAAAGATAGACCCTATTTTTTTGGGGGGGGTTGTTACATTTCTAGCAAGAAATTTCTGGGATAATTTTGGGAATAGCTTTTTTCTAGTGCCTTGTTATTTGTTGGCAACATGAATTTCCATCTGTAGTAAGGATGCTTGGTTGACGTTTAAGCAGATTCCTAAACACTCAACACTTGTGCTAACGGCAATTAGTCTAGCTCTTAACTTCAATCATAGGGTTGGAATGCCCCCATGTGCTACCACTACCTTTGAGATCACAACTTCTCCATTTTGCTGATAGTGATCTGTCTTCGGGTCATTCCCAGTAAGATAATTCAGAAGAAAGCAACTGTTCTCTTGATCCATCAAAATCAATCACAGCTTGCCTAGTGTAAAGGAGTGAGCTGGTTGATGGAGCACTCAGTTCTATCATGCCCTCCACTTGTGCTAGAGCAGGGCTGTTACACATCATCACATGTCGTATTGTGACCCCCCCCCCTTTGCTAAAATGAGGGTGGGGATGGCCAGCGCATGATGCATCCGGCCCGCAGGCCACAAGTTTGACACCCCTGTGCTAGAGGAAGAATCATGCCTCTCTCATGAGACAAGCTTGTGGCACTGCTTCCCCAAGAAACACCAGGCCTCCAGTGGCCATCACCCTGTCCCTTTCTTGACCGGCAGACCTTTGTGTGCTCTTCCCTCTGATTATCCTTTTAGCAGCTGTTCTAATTTTTCCTAATCATGGCTTTGAGAAGTGATTTTTTAAAATGTCTGGTAGAAGATATCCTGAGGGATAATACAAGGAGAAAAAGTGGATGGGAAGAAACTGTAAAGACAAAACTATACTTTAAAAAAAATTGGCTGTATTTAATATGTCTCCTAGCAAAAATATCACAGCGTGTTTTCACTAGCGGTAATGCAAATACAACATCACTTAATTGGAGCAATTAATTTGTAGAAGTAATAAGCAAGTGGGGGGGGAAATGTCCATTTTAAAGTGCAAAGGGGGAGCTGAATGAACAGCAGAAGCCCTCTCTCTATCCATAGAGCGATGGTGAAGATAGAGTTCACTAATTCTTATTTTGCATCTTTTTTCTCAAAAGGAAAATTGAGCTAGTTCTTGTTTTGCACTTGGGGAATGAGGAAACTGCAGATTAGAACTGGCAAGGAGAGGCTAACAGTGAACTTAACTAATTTAAATGATTTCTCTGTTTGCAAGAACATTGTAATTTTTGAGAACTGCTGTAGAACTGGTGAATCTCGGAAGACTGGGGAACAAATATCCTCTATTTGCCATAAAATTCACATGCTTAGCTTACAGAATAGACAGCTAAAGAGAGATATGACAGTAATCTTCAAAAAATACCAGGTGGGTTATTGCACCAAAGGAATTAACTTACTGTCTTGTCCTAGAGATGGGCCCAGACAAATGGATTAAAATGAAGTTTTAATGGAAGTAATTAAGTTCAGGGTAAACACCTGGAAGAAAGCCTGACTATACAAGCTGTCAGTCAGCGGAATGCATGAAGTGATGCATTCTTCCTTCACTAGAGATTTTCAAACAAGATGATTGGTCAACACCTGTCAGAGACATGCCAGTGGGTTCTGCAATGAGCACTCTATGGTTCTGTGACAACCGTCTGTAATCTACAGAGGGAAGGAAGAAGGCAGGACTTTAGCTTCACACCTGTCCAATCTTGGAGCTAGCAAAAATTGGCTCAAAAAGCTGCACTGACGTCTTCTGAAGCGGGACTTAAAAGCGGAGTTGAAATGATTGTGAAGAATCTGAACAACTTCATGCAGGGGTGTCAAGCTGGCGGCCCGCAGGCCGGATGCATCACGTGCAAGCCACGCCCACCCAGGCTCTGCAAAGGCAAAAATGTCATGTCTTGTGACATCATGTGACGCAATCAAGTTTGACACCTGTGAACTAAAGCATCCCTAATTTGAGCTCATAATTAAAGTCACCAATACAGACTCTAATAAGGGACCATCTCAGATTCAGGTTTAAGGGAGCAGGACAAATCCAGCAAAGAACTTAAAAATAAGGCCCTTAAACAACATTGAATGATTTTCATTGGATTTTAACTTTATGTAAGAGCATAGCTGGGAACCATATAGCATCCAGGAGATTATTTGTGGTTTAAAGATCTTAATGACGGCTAGCCTAGAATGTCCTCTTCATAAATAGTAGAAACCTAGCATAGCCTTTCACTCTTGCCAGCCTTTTCAGTGACTGACCTATTTTTTTCCCTTCATGATCCAAAGGAACGGGAAGTTGTTCCAAGATATTTAAAGGATCTGACTTGTCTATTAAGTTTCCATGTTTTTGCCAAGAGTGTTTGAAGCTCTGGACCCACTCTGAAGAAACTGTGACCTTGGTTTTGGATTAGCTTCACCTCATCACAGTAGGTTGCTATGTTCCTCCAAGGCCAAATGAGTGGTCAAAGGGCTAGCTGCACCATTGGCATAAAGAAACATGGCTCTATGTCCACTACCCAGCCTGGCAGGGTGAAATATACTTTGTTCAAACTGGAACTGTAACATTCAAATAATTGCTAAAAGGAAGCCAAATGCAATCTGACTCCTGGAGATTTGGAAGAAAGATGGCAGTACCTACAAAATATACAGTAACAGGCAAGGAGACATTTTCATGCAGCTTCATATAATTAGTAGTACAGCAGCAGTCTCCACTCTATGGCATTTGAACATCTGTATTTGTTACTTTCCCAGTTTGAGCCAGCATGTCTGCATCTTTTATGTGGACCTTTTTGCCGAGGTTACTACATTGGCAAAACAATGTTTCTGAAACAGACTTGCCCAAATGTGTATTGGTTTTCATGGGCTATGCTGAACTCAAAAAGTAAGGCTCACTATTTAAAAACAAGGTACAGAAAGCAACAAGGAAGCGGGGGATAGAGGAAATAAACTAACTCTATTAAGCTTGAAACAGTATATTTTCACTGAGGTTCATCACTCGGGGTCTAATTTAATTCTGCTGCAGATTTTTTTTAAAAAAAATACATAACATCAGAATATGATATTCTATCTCCTTCCTTCCAAACTGGAGCTTCTAGTGCCTGCCTGCAAAAGAGATGATCCAGTCAAAATAAGGCACTTC